TGAGTCTATTCCACCATTCAATGAGATCTTGGTTGATCTGATAATCTTCATGTCCACTTTCCTGCCTTCCCCGACAACCCTTGATTATCTAACTGATTAAAAATCTGTTTATCTCAGCCTTGAAATTTGTTAATGACCAAACCTCAACAGCCCTCTGTGGCAAAAAAAATTCCACAGATTCACTACACTCCGGACAAGAAATTTCTCCTTATGTCTATCTTAAATGTGTGACCCCATATTATGAGATTATGCTGTCTGGTCCTAGACTCTTCCACAAGGTGAAAGAACCTTTTCCACATTTCCCGTGTCAAGTCCCCTAAGAATTTTATATGTTTCAATAAGATTGCCACTCACTCTTCTAAACACCATTGAGTACAGACCCAAGCTGCTCAATTTCTCCTTATACTTAAATCCCTCCATACTCAGTACCACCTAGCAAACCTACCTTTCGGTGGTCTTTCTTTATTTAAATTAAATTCAACTCCTGTATTCTTCCTGCAAAAGGGCATAACCTCATATTTTGCCTCATTATATTCCATTTACCAAGTGTTTACCCACTCACTTAAGCTGTCTGTATTCCTCCGCAGACTCATTGTGCCATCTTTATCACCTACGATGACTGAAAATCAGTGTAATAGTATGATTTTTCCCCATTGTTTTCTAGTGACACCATGTGACCAATGGAAATGGGAAAATTATTTTTAAACTAGGGATTATGGAAGGAGTTGCTGCAGTTACTGGAAGTTACTGCAACTCATGCCGAATAATATTTACACAGTTGTTATCTTCAAGCCATGGAAGTGTAGAAGGTCTGAAACACCATGGCAAGCAAATTGAGGCAGCTTCACCTGGAGACAGACTGCTGACTGGTTTGTGCAATCAGGACCAGGTATGCAGGCCAGAAGTTAATCAGTATAACAACTCACACTTGCTCCTGAGCAGGTGGATAGCAACTGTGTGAACAATACAGGGCAACAGAGAAACACAGTCTCTCTCTACAGTGAAATAATCAAACATGGAAGACAGTTAGCTGTTCTCACCCTCCATTTTCTACAAGCTATTGCCCATAACCAGTGACTTAAAAAGAGCACTAACTGCCCTTTGCAGTAAAAAAAAACTGAAGTTTTGTTGATCTGTGGTTGGTTTTATTATACCAGCATGCATATCAATGGAAATTCCAGAAAACAAACAGGTGGCATATTAAATTACTGACGGCATTACACAATGGCCCCTGGTTGAACATGTGCACGTCCACGGTACAGAACGGAGGAGGTAAACTGAATTGCTAAACTCAAGAAATAAGAAAATATGCAACAACTCGTATCAAAGCATTCATAGCGTTATCAGAGACAAAAGGGAGAAAATATTTGTTCAGATGTCCAACAGGCTAATCAATTTGGCATTTACTAAGAACCATAAAAGGAAGAAGGAGAACAAGAAAAAGAAAGATTTAAGACAGGAATTCCACAATTGAGGATCCCAGTAGGTGAAGATCTAGCAACCAATACTGCGGCAATGAGGGGATGGACACAGAGCGAAGGGTGGGGAGAAAGAGAACAGAGAGGGGGACAGAGAGGCAGAGAGAGAGAGACTGACCGAATGCAGAAAATTTGGGTGGGATTGGAGATAAGAGGTTTAAGATGCCATGGCAACATGGATCGGTGTTGAGGCAACTTCACCTGGAGACAGACTGCTGACTGGTTTGTGCAATCAGGACCAGTTATGCAGGCCAGAAGTTAATCAGTATAACAACTCACACTTGCTCCTGTGCAGGTGGACAGCAAGTGTATGAACAATACAGGGCAACAGAGAAACAGTCTCTCTCTCCAGTGAAATAATCAAACATGGAAGACAGTTAGCTGTTCTCACCCTCCATTTTCTACAAGCTATTGCCCATAACCAGTGACTTAAAAAGAACACCAACTGTCCTTTGCAGTAAAAAAAACTGAAAGATCTTGGAAATAAAAATAAGCATGAAGATCAGAAGAACTTAGGAAGCAAAAGAGACAACTCATTGAATCCTGTGGACTGGTGTTATTGAATGTTTTCCTTTCCACCCATAACATCCATGTTCATATATTGTGATTATCTGTCTGTATGAGTATAGGGGTCTAAGAAGTGTTTCAGAGGGTTTTATGCTGATAAATCAGTTTTGCTTATCATCATAGAATCCCCAGAGTGTGGAAACAAACCACTCGGCCCAACAAGTCCACACTGACCCTCCAAAGAGCATCCCACCCATCCTTCATTCCCCTACACTATCCTTGTAACCCTGTATTTCCTGTGGCTAATGCATCTAACTGACACATCCCTGGACACGATGGGCAATTTAGCATGGCCAATCCACCTAACTTGCACATCTTTGGACTGTGGGAGGGAACCGGAGCACCTGGCAGAAACCCACACAGACACAGGGAGAACGGCAAACTCCACACAGACACTTGCTCGAGTTTGGAATCAAGCCCGGGTCCTTGGCGCTGTGAAGCAGTTTTGCTTGCCTGTGATTTGAATTGATTGCTTTGAAATAAATAGTTTCGTGTTAAGTACAGAAACTGGGTCATTTTCTGTTAACCTGATTTGATCAGGCAGGAAAATTGGGAGATTGAATAATTTGATGAAATCCTTCACTTTATGTAACGACCCCAGGAGTTCTGGGGTTTGAATATCAACTCCAAGAATAACCATAGGATAACTTATAGGTGCTTCAGATGTGAATCAAAGTTTCACTGCAGGTGGAATTGCTCAAAAAGAAATTATTGGATTTTTTGAGATGTCACATGAGAATGGAAGTATGAAAGGAGCGTCAGAAGGAATCACTAAATGCTTCAATTTCAATAATTTGTGCCTTCATAACAGATGTATTGAAACATGTAGTTCTGGACAGTGGGTGTACATCCATGGCATGTGGACTCAAATGGTTAAGCTGCGCACATCCCTGGAATAAATTTTAAAGCATTATGATTTCCGCCATAAACTAATTATTAATGTCCAGCTCTTGCTGCATTTGGACATGGACTGCTTCAGTATCTGAACAGTCATGAATGCTGGTGAATATTGCACGGTCATCAGTGAATATCCCCATCTTCTAACCTTGTAATGGAGGGAATGTCATTGGTGAAGCAGCTGAAAATGATTGTACCTAGGATACTGCCCTGAGCAAATCCTGAAGAGGTGTTCTGGAGTTGAGATGACTGACCTCCAACAATCCAGAATACCTTCCTTTGTACCACATATGATACTAACTAGTGGTGTTTTCCCCTGATTCCCATTGACCTGATGCCACACTCAGTCAAATGTAGCCTTGATGTTAAGAGCTGTCACTCTCACCTCACCTTTGGAATTCAGCTCTTTTGTCCATGTTTGAACCAAGGCTGTAATGAGGTCAGGAGCTGACTGGCCCTGATGGAACCCAAACTGGGCATCGCTGAGCAGGTCATTGCTGAGCAAGTGCTGCTTGATAGCACTGTTACTGACACCTTCCATCACTTTGCTGATGATCGAGAGTAAACTGAAGAGGCGGTAATTGGCTGGGTTGGATTTGTCCTGCTATTTATGCATAGATCATACCTGGGTAATTCTCCACATTATCAGGTTGATGCCAGTGTTGTAATTGTACTGGAACAGCTTGGCTAGGGGCATGGCAAGTTCTGGAGCTGAAGTCTTCAATACTACTGCCAGAATGTTGTCAGGACCCATGGCTTTTGCAGTTTCCAGCACCACCAAACATCTTTTGCTATTATGTGGAGTGAATTGAATTAGTTGAAGACTGACATCTATGATGATATGGACCTCTGAAAGAAGCCAAGATGTATAATACACTCAGTACTTCTGGCTGAAGACTGTTCTGAATACTTCAGCCTTATCTTTTGCTGTGCTGTGCTGGACTGGCCCATAATTGAGGATGGGATATTTATGGAGCCTATTCCTCCAATGAGTTGTTTAATTGTCCACCATCTTTTACAACTGGATGTGGCAGGAATGCAGAGCTTAGATCTGATCTGTTAGTTGTCAAAGTGCTTAGATCTGTCTACCACTTGCGACATATGCTTTTTCACCAGTTTGTTACATCAGTTTTATATTCACCTCGTACTGCTTCAGGCACGGTCTCCTGTATTCTTCATGGAACCAGGGTGATGGAAATTCTAGAATGAGGGATATGGCATGATTATTCAGTTAATTCACTTGCAGTCAAAAAAAACTGACAGATTGTGATTTCAAGGTCGATCACTAAGGGAGATATTTATAATTTGATTAACCCTTGAACAACGCAGTGTCCCTCTAAAGTCTGAGGGAAAAAAATAGATTTGTTCTCCTTATTGAGGAAAGTGAAGTGAATTCAAAGAGGTTCAGGGTAGTTACATTAGACTAATATCCAGCACAAGTGGCTTGACTTATGAGGATAGGTTGGACAGGCTAGACTTGTTTTCAATAGAGTTCACAGCGTGAAGGGTGATTTATTGAAACAAATAAGATGTTAATTATTTTGACAAAATATATGCAGAAAATATGCTGTTTGTGGATCTGTCCAGAACTAGATGGCTCGATTTAAAAATTCGGGATCACCCTAGTAGAGGTGAGAATGTTTTTCTCAACGAATTGTGCAACTTTGGAACCCTTTTTCACATAAGGTGGTGGAGGTGGGATCATTGAATATTTTGAAGACAGAGATGGATTGCTAAGCAGGAGGACCAAAGGTTGAGGTAAATGGCAACATGGAGGCCCCAGCATCACTAAGCCCCACCCTTCACTATCCAACGCCTGCTTCTTCTTGCTCCACTTCCTACTTCCCCAGCACCACCATATCTCCCCATTCTACCCCCTAGCTCGCTCAGCACGACCCCTTCCATAATTTCTACCCCCAGCACCACCCATGTCTCACCAATCCCACCTTCCCCCCCAGAAGGTTGTTGAAGGTTGGGCCTTGGTGCCCGGGGTGGTTATGCTCGGATCCGGGCGGACACTTTGTGCAGGGATCAGTGTCCGAGGGGGAGGAAAATGTGGGCGTGACCGGAAGCGGAAGTTAGCTGTTCCCCCCCCCCCCGATGTCCATGGAGCAGCGGAGCGGGGATGGAGAGGCGGATGTTGCGCTCGGTCCCCGGGCCACCGGCCTGGTTAACGCCGCCGGCAGGAACGGAAAGGCGGTTGTGTGCGAGCGGTGCGGCTCCCGTGTGCTGAGTCCCGGTACAGCTCGGTACCGGCGGAGAGAGGTGGGGTAAGGGGAGGAGAGAGTGGGGCATGGGTGTGTAGGGGGTGGGATGGTGGAGAGAAGGTGGGGGGCGGGAAGGGGGGTGGTGGGAAAGGAAGGGATGGGGGATGTGGGGGAATGATTAAGGGGAGAGAGGAGGGTTGTAGAGGGGATGGGATGCAGGGAGGAGTGGGCAAGGTGAGGATGGGTTGCCGGCGAGGGAGGTGTTGTGGGGAGGGTGTGAAGTTGGGACGCACAGAGAAACAGGGGAACGGAGAGAGGGGAATGGGCTGTGACACAAGGTTGGTAGGTAGGAAAAGACGAGAGCTGAAAAGTGGGCTCAGGCTGGATGGTTGGGCGATGAAGTCATTTGGGCAGAGAGTGGAAGCTTAGGGGAAGCAGTGGAATGAATTTGCCTTAGCTTTGAGTTTGAGATGGTCGGGATATAATTTATAATCACAGTTTATGAAGTGACATGCTGGGGAGCCTTGAAAGTGCAGCATTTATTGCCCTGCCCTAATTTCCCTTGATCTGAGTGCTGGATTGCTTGTTTATTTATTATTTAAGACTCTGCCACGTTGCTGTGAGTCTGGTGTCATGTTTAGGCCAAAACAATTAAGGATGGTGGATTGCCTTTCCTAAAGGACATTGGTGAGCCGGATGTTTTTTAATGACAATCAGCAATTAATTCCAGATTTTAATTGTATTTGTTTATTTTTATTGTTGATCTCTTGTGCATGGCCTTTGGAGGTCCATACAGATAACATCCGTACACACTGTTCTATCCATCCCCTTGGTGGCCTGCTCAAAACACTGATTATGCTTCGACGTGGCCTCATGATTATGGTGAGCTGGTGTTGATTCAGCGTTGTGATTTAAGATATATTTTATTTTGCAGCTCTTTCTTCCATCAATGAGGCAGAGAGTGGCATTGGGGACTGAGGAAAGCTCAGTACAAGGGGACATGCTACAAGAGCATTGGTTCGTTGATGACATGTATGCCTTTGAGAATGTTGGCTTCACCAAGAACGTGAACAATATCAAGTATCTGGTTTGTGCCGACTGTGAGATAGGGCCCATTGGCTGGCACTGCCTAGACGATAAGAAGAGTTTTTACGTGGCTTTGGATCGAGTGCAACATGAGTAGCAGGTGATGAGCCAACAGGGTTACAGCACAATCCACTGGTGGGGTGCTTCTGTCTCTCTTGCTCTCTGTATACACTCTGCCTGCAGCCTGAGACTGAGGGCTGGACACAGACTTCCTCACATGGCAACCCCAACAGACCATTCCTTGCAGATGTCTGTGTGAGCCATGGTGTGGGCTGCACGCAGAGCTCTTCAACTGGCATACTGACCAGTATTTCACCGTCACATGCCGCATAATTTCTGACGAGATGATCGCTCAGTTTGAACCATTCTTTTGTTATTATTAAAAAACTGTTCTGAATATCGTGTGCTGTCTTTGAAGAGTAGAACCAATCAGATCTTGCAATCAGTGGGAGAAAATGTGAGGTGTTTGGTTGGGCTTGTACCACTGCAATCCCTCGGAGGGTGAGGGCTGTGCCACTGCAATCCCTCAGGGAGGAGATAGGGCTGTGCAGCTGCTTTCCTGCAAGGAAGGAAGAGGGCTGTACCACTACTCCGGCTGAGAGAGGGGTAGGGCTGTGCCATTTGCATTCCCACAGTGCATGTGGAGAGGAATGAAATATAATGGAATAATTAAATGATGCCACATAAATATAGAGTGTATCCAAGGATAAGGAATATTTTTAAAAGATTAGTGAACAGTTAGTAGTATACAAATAGGAAGAATTAGATGCAATTGTTTTGTGAAAAGATATTGACAACAAATACCCTAAACTAGGCTGTAGTTTTAAACTGAAATTATTTTGGAAGGGATGAGAAAAAAGGTGAAGTGCAATTTATAGATTCCTTAAGGTCATAAGAAATAGGAGCAGACCACTGAGTCCATCGAGCTTGCTGAACCATTCGGCAATGGCTGGTCGTATTGTTGCCTTAATTCTATGTTGTGGGCACAGTGGTCTGGAAAGCGGAGACCTGAAGCAGGACAAACACTGCTTCATAAAAACATCTCCAGTGCTCAGGAAAAGCATAAGCTGATTTACCAGTCCTGCAATAATTCAAGGTTAATTGAGGACCATACCAGGCTCAGGAGTGGGAGACTCCAAAGAAAAGATTAGGCAGTTATTGAACAGTCTAAGCTCAAAAAGGCTTGAAAGACCAAGTCAGCCCATTATGCTTTGAGCAGAGTAACAGTAAGATAGGGCATTGATTAGAATCATTCAAGAGATATTACTGACATTACTATGACAAACATTATTTCAATGTTTGTACAAATTTAATGATTGTTTGGATCAAGTTTAATAGAAAACATCACACCAGTTTAAAGCACGGATTTGTTTTTTTGCTGAAGGGTTGAAGACAGAATTAATATGCAACCAGATCATAGCCTGAGTATCAGGTGAAGCTTTGTCAATCTTTTATGAGCCAGAGCAGTTCATCATGAGAGGAAGAAGTGCAACTTTCTGTTTCAGGAGAACCATGGAACCAGAACAGGATATTCGTTTGAGTGGAAAATGATGCACTACAGCAAAAAATCAAGTGAAGTGATTTAGTTCACAAAAGACAAACAAAAAAGTGCACTAAACCCACACCCCACCAAAACAGAAAAACTACCGTTTTGAAGTTTCTTCAATGAGGCAGGAGCATCCAAACAGATAGAAATGATGGCCTAACAGGGGCAGCACGGTGCAAAAAACTAGAAAAGCAAGCCATCTTACAATATCATATCAGGTTAGAATGCAGACAACTGAGAAGCAAAAGCAGAGTTGAGAAGTGGGAAAGCCAAAAGTCAGGAAAAAAGAGCTTTTTTGGGGGGAAATCAATGATCTTAAAAACAAAAACTGGCACATCACACTGGAAGCAAATGGACACCACAATTTAAACTAGATACAAGGGTTTTTGATGTTATGGATCAACTTAAATGGTTTGGAATTAAATTGCGACCATCTTCCATAAAGTCACATGGTGCTGGAGAAACCTTATTGAAAATAAAAGGTACAATGCATGAGAAATCATAGACTGTCTCTCATTCAGGATCAAGAATGTTATCCACTCCACAAAGCATGTTTAAAGCTAAAGCAAACTGCTAAGGTTGATGAGATTGTAGCTACAGAATGAGCAAGTGACTCTTGAACCGAGTTTCCAAAATTATTCCGAGGTTTGCGGAATTGAAAACCAAGCATCATGTTACCTTAATGGATAGTGTAAAACCAATCTGCTTATACACACTGAGAATAGTTCCACATCTGCTCTTGGGCAGAGGTGCAGAAGAAATAGCGTGTAGCTTAAGGCAAAGGGTGATATCACCAGTTACTGTGCCAACACAATGGTCTTCAGATCTGGTTCTAGTGCCAAAACTAAATGGTTTGATAAGAATCTCTGAATTTAATTCTGTTAAATAAAGCAGTGGAGTGCTAGATTCACCCAATGGTGTGTGGACGAAAGTCTACTAGTATTAGCTGAGAGCACCTCTTTATCAAACTCAGCGGTTTTCTGGATGTGGACTCTAGAAAGCTGCCTGCATTTATGAGACCTTTTGGACGTTATTGCTTTAATAGATTGACTCTGCCAAATGTAATGTCAAACACATTGGAAATTATTGACAGGGTAGTCAGCAACATGTACATTATGTGGATCTACAAAAGAAAGACACGATCATAGAGTAAGAACAGTCATTAAAATCCTATAAAATGCAGATCGAACATTGAATGAAGAGTGCGAGTTTGTGAAACAGAGAATAGGATTTCTTGGGAACATTGGCGAAGCTACAGAAATCAAAATTAGGCCTTAGAAGGCCAGAGGTGTTACAGAATTCCATGTACCTAGAACCATCATAGAAAATCATAGATTCTATGCAATGAATATTGAAATGGGCTAGATTTATCAAAGTTATGACCAGACAACAGAGGAGCATGGGTAGAGCTGCTTCGTTATGCAGCTGATCTGATTAGCCCACATTCCTGCCTACATTCAGTAATCTGTCACCCCCTTGCTTCTAAAGATTCAACCTATCTCTGCTTCAAAAATACTCAAAGACTCACAACTCTCCGTGAAAAATTTCTCCTCATCTAGGTCTTAATTGGGTGATCCTGGTTTTTTTTATATAAACAGTGACCCCCTGGTTCTAGATTCTCTCATAAGAGGAAACATCCTCTCCACATCAAGACCCCTTAAAATTTCTTTGACTTAATCAAGTTGACTCTTGTTCTTCTAACTCCACTGAGCTGAGCCTATCCGATCTTTCCTCATAGTATGACCCACCCATTCTGGGTATTAGTCTCTGAGCTGCTTTTGGTGCATTAATATCCTTCCTTACATAAAGAGACTAAAACAGTATTCCAGATGTGGTTTCACCAAAGCCCTGTAAAAGCTGAAGCATACTTTTGTATTCAATTTCATTCAATATGTGATAACACTTTAATGAGCTTTCCTAATTGCTGTGCCTTCATACTAGCTATTTGCATTTTCATTTGCACTATGACAACTAGATCCCTCTATATCTAGGCTCTGCAATCTTTCACCGTTTAGGTAACATCTTTTATTCTTCCTGCCATTGTGGACAATTTCATATTTTTCCATGTTATACTCAATTTGCAAGTTGTTTGCCCACCAGCTTTACCTGTCTATTCATTTGTAGCATCCTAAACCACCTTTGGGCAGTACGGTAGTTCATTGGTTAGCACTGCTGCCTCACAATGGCAGGGACCCAAGTTAAATTCTACCTTTAGGCAATTATCTGTATGGAGTTTGCACATTCTCTCCGTGTTTGTGTGGGTTTCCTCCCACAGTCCAAAGACGTGCAAGTTAGGTGGATTGACCATGCTAAAGTGCTCGTGGTGTCCAGGGATGTGTATGTTAAGTCGATTAGCCATGGGATATGCAGGGTTACAGGGATAGGGTCGGGGGTAGGTCTAGGTGGGACACTCATCGAAGGGTTGGTGTGGACTTGAGAGGCCGAATGGCCTACTTTCACACTGTAAGAATTATCATAGAATCCTATGTTCTCTTCACAATTTATCTTCCTCCCTGTCTTGATTTGATATGATTTATTGTTGTCACATGTACCTATGTACAGTGAAAAGTTCTGTTTTGCAAGCAGTGCAGACAGATCATAGCCTGCATACAGATCCTAATGTGCTTAGATAGAGTGAGACATAAAAGGTTATGGCTGCACAGGAGATGGGCAAGCAAGATCAACATTAGATTTGAAATTAGAGCAGTCTAATAACAGCAGGGAAGAAGCTGTTCTTGAATCTGCTGATGCATGTGTTCAAGTTTTTGTATCTTCTGCTTGATGGAACCATACTGTTGATATTTTCATCCAAGATATTTGTTTAAATTGTGAAAATTTTAAGGCCAAGTGTGATTCCCTATGTTCCAACACCTGTTATCTCTTGCCAACCAGAATATGGCCCATTTATGCCTTTTTTCTACTTAGTCAATCAATTGTCTATCTTCTTGTCATCTAAGGCTATCCTCCTCAATATTTATCACTCCACCAATTTTCTTACAAACTTACTGATCAATCACCTTACACTAAAGTCTAAATCATTTTTATGCGGCACAAACAGCAAGGACCCCAACACTAATCCCAGCAGAGCCCAGTTGGATATCAGGTTTCCAGTCAGAAAAACATTCCTTCACCATCACTCTCTGCTTCCTGCCACTCAGCCAATTCTGGATCCAATTAGCTAAATTTATTTGGATCCCATGGACTCCTAACTTTGCTTTCAGTCTGCCATGCAGGATCTTAGCAAAAGCCTTGCTGAAGTCCAAATAGACTACATCAAAAGTACTGACCTCATCTGGAGGACTTTGGTCACTTCTTTGAAAAATATCAATAAGTTGGTCAGAAATGACCTTAAACTTTCTGACTCTCCACTCCAAATGCAGGTGAATTCTGTCCCTGTGAATGCTTCCAATAATTTCCCAACTGCTGAGGTTAGACTGACTGGTCTGTAGTTTCCTGGTTTATCCCTTGCTCACTTCTTGAAGCCTAAAGTCATCTCATGCATAAAAATAGTAAAATGGTAAAGGGAGAATGGAGCAGATTAGGGACCAAAAAATAATTACATGCATGGAGTACTGAAAACTTTGCATTTGTCTTTAGCAATGAAGGTGATACTGACAAAATCGTGGTGAATCATGTCATAACTGATGAGTTAAAATTGGCAAAGATTATCATGAATTGCAATTAGCCAATCTAATACTAAAATCAAAGTTGATAAGTCACCAGAACAATTTAAATACTTCAAGCGATATTGAGAGAAGGAAGGGTGGCACTGACTAATCTTCTGATCCTGCTTTGATACAATGGTGGTGCCTAGAATTGTATATATTATACCTTGTTCAAAAAAGGACTAG